TTATTTTTTCTATTTAGTCAAGCCACTGACTCGCAGAGCTGGCAGGTTCAAGGCAGTCATGCCGCTTGAATGTGCCGAGTTTGTTTCTGGCGAGAGCGAATGTTTTTGGGAAATGCTCATCAAAGATGACGTAGTAAGGAAAATATGTATAATTTCTGAATTATTTCTTTATTTGATGACAAGATGTAACTTTTCGTTTTTCTGTAGTGGCAAAGTGCCAGTACTGACATTTCCAATTGAGCATTATGATAAAGTATGAAATCTGCAACGCTAACCCATCACGTTTTCGGGATGCGTCCCACGTTCCGAATCTAGCCAGAATCATGTAGTGGTGATCCAATGCGTATGTGACCTTTACAAGATTAGCGTTGATCAATCGAATGAACATTTCGAAGCTTCTATCCTCCCAGGGTGGTTCGGTACCAGATGATTGACACTGCAGGGGTGGTCTAATCGAGAATCGATCTGAGATTCACTCCCCCGGATCATGAGTTTGTGATAGTGCGCCCATTTTCCATCTTATTCCAACTTGACTGCGTGTTTTCACTCGATGTACCGTCATTTCTCACGGCCTTACATCCTGCGCCCCCTTTGCCTCCTCGGGCTAAATCAACTTCAGTTACTTTCTACTACCCACCATCGGCGTCTTAAATCTGCTGCTCGCGCGTGTTCCAAATATGAACGCTCTGGGTCGAGATTACCAATTTCCGCTTACGTCCCGCTTCGAATGGACGGTGTAAAGCCCTGCCACCGCACACCAGCATTCCGTCTGTACCCTTAATCAGTTTGAACGCTCTAGGTGCACGGGAACAGGAGACATGACTTTCCGTTCGAACCTCGCTCACTGGGGCCGAATGTGGTCCTGCCATCCACTATAAGTGTTCCCATCCTGCCACCTGTAAAGGCTAAAGGATAAAGTCTTGGGGCGTTGATCACTCCTATCTGAGGGGTGCGCCTACGCATTTAAGTTCCATTCAGAATCGTAGTAGCGGTTGATTGCGTATTTGGCCTGTAAAATGACTTACCGTGGCCAAACGCTGTTCAAGTCAGTAATTTTATCCTCCGAGACAAATCGGGTACCGATCAACCTGCCCCGGCGAGATGGAAGGCTTTACAACGAGTTAGCATGCGTGGGTGAAGTGCGTTTCTTGCCACTACACCTTGCTGTCGCCTACAAAATTTGAACTCTATCGGTCCACGGCGACAGGAGTTCTATATTTCCGGTTATACACACACGCATACACACGCACACACACAGACACATACACAGACACATACACAGACACACAGACACACTAACACTAACATTAACACTTCGCTGATTATATTTATAAGTTGTATTTCCAGTACCCTACGATAATTGCTGTGTTCACCTCTCTGAGGTGTGCAACAGTGCCTCCGTTCTAAGTGCATGTATAGATTGATGCATAATTATTGCGGATTTTCTCGCGACTTCCTTTCTTTCGATACAATTTGGATTTTGGATTCGGATTTAATAGGAATAATCTTCTTACTTTCCTTAAGAGAAGTATGTTTAAAGAGATATGTGTCTTTCCACATTACGGTTTTCTACTGCGAGAAATATTTGAAGGTGGCACAGTCATAGGTGATCTCAACGAACTCCTCGGCGATGAAACAGTCAGCCAGAGCCGAATGAAGAATGGAATCTGCTTTTACGGTCGCCCTATCCACTAATAGAAACTCTTATGGACTATCACATCAATCGTCAGTTAAGAAATTAGTTAACGAACAGAACTTTCGGCGAAATGGATGACTTGATGGCTGACGACAAGACGTGGATCGTTTCCAAGAATCGAAACTTCTTCGCTGTGGATTCCGACTTTCTGTCGTTTCTTCACGTAAATTTTGTTCAAAAAATCGGCAATAATTATGCACCAACCCAATACATTGAAATAAAATAGGCAAGTGATTGGTAGTAAATTGGAATTCCAAGGACTGTATGTAGGATGAAAAAATTCATTCATCATTGACATTCGATGTTGATGTTGGCGACTGTAAATTTCGTAATGTGACTTTTTAGCGATCTATAGTAAAAACTGAATCGAAGTGTATGTTGTCTGGTTGAGGGCATCTTATTACTGTCCAATGAGATTCCACAAATTACATTCATGAGAAATAAATCGGTGTTTGCCATCGATGAAAACTCGTTTCCCCCGTTTTTGAAAAAAAAAGAGCTGATTGAGTTCAGAAGTTATCGAGGGCATTATCAATGGCCGTAGAGAAGTCAGTGTCATTCCTGGACAACTATCGTAGCTCTGATATTTCCAATTCGATTATTCCATGATTTTCAATTCATATATTTGATCCATGGGAATAAGGTTGACTATTGAATTGAAGGCTTACGATGCTGTAATGTCACAAGAAGGGCAGAGAGGTTGTAGTGACAAGTGGTTCAAACTATCACACGCACGTTTCGGGAGCGGGGCTCCAAATTCAGACCGGTAAAGGTCCAGGTCAACCAGGCCTTTCATCCTTCCGAGGTCGGTGAGCTGGTAGTTGGGCAGGCCGCAATCATGCAGCAAATGCTGGGAGGCATTCCACAAACGAGTTCAATTTGCTTCAAACTTTATCCTGTATTCTTTGGACTTATCTTCGATGCTATGATGCTACTGAAATGATCAATACAGATTCATATTTTTCGTCTAATATTTCATTATCACAATCCAGAAGAAAAATATGACGGTTTTTCAAATTCTTTGACTTTTAGGGAAAGTTGCTCACTCGTCCAAGGAAATTCCACAATGGCACAGAGATCCCAGAATTGAAGAGCGTTGGAGTTTTCCTAGATGAGAGCTACACTAATAAAACCACGTTGTTCTTTTGTTACGTGAAGCCATCAACAACATATGATGTTCATAAATGGACAACAGCTATCGAAGTGGTCCCGGTTCAAAGTGAGCATCAAGCCATGATACTGTATTTACAGAACGAGAATAAAGGGAAATGGCGAAGTTCTATTCGATCCCAGGTCATCAACTGAAAGCAAAGTTGACGATGGATATTCTTGAGGAAAGGCCTCGTTATATGGTTATAAAATGGAGTGTGGACGATCTCCCGGCAAACATTTCCGGTATAAGGTTAGCGAAGCTGTTCATTCGGTAGCGCAATTTTACATCGAATTTAGAATATCATTCAAAATAAACATCCTAGATAGATGATCCTCTGAGACGCAAAAGGAAGTTCTACTCATTTCTAAAAGAATTTTTTCAAATTTTGTCATCATCGCTATTTACCTAGAATAATTACAAGGTACCAAAACTACAGGGTGTCTTGAAGTTACGGGTGGCCGCTTGAATTTATAATGCCTTAGCCAGAAATATTCTACTGATTTTACTTAGTTCGCTACTTATTGGTTGCGCAGGTAATTATGCATGGTTATCGGGGCAAGACCATTGATATCTTCACGATGGTAATGGCTGCTTTCATAGTCCGCCGGCCGGCGTGCCGGCGTGGAGGCAGTGCTAGCGGGGAGGAGGGAGGCAGACAGTTAGGCAAACAGTCCACGCCCCTTCGAGGGGTTGAAAACAAACAACCTTCCAAGGGTGCGTGGACTGTTCGCCTTACATTGTCTGCCTCCCTCCTCCCCTCTAGCACTGCCTCCGCCGGCACGCCGGACCCCGGTCGGCACGCGCGCCGGCACGCCGGCACGCCGGCGGACTAGATGGGAACACAGCTGGGCTTATCGTGGTCATCGATGGCCGGATTGCCAGAGAAAGTTTACTTGTCATTTCTATTGCCTGCGAAAATGTCCCTTCAATTTCGGTGCCAATGACTAACAAAGGTTTAAAAAGTGAGGTTGCAGAAGGTTGCTGTCCCGCTCTAGTGGAAACATGTCGTTTTGTTTCACGAGAAAAATTTCATGATAGAGCTAATCCTGAACAAACAAATAGATCGCTTTTCGTCGGAAACATTGAAACTTTTCTGCAAAAGCAACCTTCCAAAAAAATGAAGTGGTTGTTCGGAAAGGGAAGCACTTGCAGTGCCAGGATGCCGTTTTGTCCGTACCAGCGCGAAAATTGGCTAAGACATTGAGCTTGAAAAAAACATGCCGATGAAATGCTGAGACCTTGAACCGGTTTCTTTTCCCGAAACAGTCCATGGTACTTCTAGCCCGCAGAGCCAAGCTCGTTCAAGAGATATGATGACACGGGTTACCGACCACACCGGGGAACTCCAAACTGCCCGCCGGATGTTAACCAACATGGTATCTTCGGGTGATCGCTAACTGCAAGGTGTCCTTGAAAGTAGAGCTGAAGATCTGCTCGGGAGAAATAGAGCAGGGACATCTGCGCGGAGAATGCGAGAAATGTGGACGCAAATCTCAAGGCTGTGTCCGGGTTCATGGAGGATGCTTTAACCCATTGGCGACCGCGCTTTTTATAATGTCCTTACATTAGCTTTTAATTTCTCTTATGATTGTACGTGGAAATAAATGATTTCTGGGCCACAATGTCTCAAGGTTCTCCAGAAGGCTGTGAGCTCAGCTAATACTTGAAATCATGGAAAAATTATAAGATTACTTGATAAATAATATAAATACTACAGGAGCACGATATGGCGTGGCCCGCCGGCGGGCCACGCGATCCTCAATGGGTTAAAGTTTGATTGTAGCTTGTCATTGCCCATGGTGTAAGCAATATGTATGAAGATTTAATTGTCGTTCTCAGCTTAGAAGCAGAATACACTTCTCGATGAACAAGCATCCATAAATATGACACATCCTGTACAGGATGCATTCAGAATTTCGGTCGGTATCTTCGATGGTGCAGAAAAATACAAAGAGCTCGAGTCTGGTATACTCAAAACGGTTGGTGAATTATTTAATTATCTTGTGCATTCTGAAAATGCCCAGTCATAATGACTTGAGCTAATTGGAGTGCCAGAAAATATTGAACTCTCAGCAGTACCTATCATTTCAAAGACAACTGATTGTAGGCTGTACCCAAAGAACTTGTTGCAATTGTTTAGAGTGCACATTTAAAAATTCTTCTCAGTTTGGCATCATTCTTTCATATTTGTGATTTCTTGTTAACTCGATGAATTCTATCTAATGTCCTAATCGTGTCTCTGATAGATTATTTGATACAAGACACTTTTAAAAGTCGCCTCACATCCTTCCAAACCATTTTACCCAACCTTTACGTTCCCGTGATTCGACTTAGCTAAGTAATGTATCAACTTGTGAGATCCCATGATTAGGTAATGTCCTAATAAGTATATGTCGCGGGCCGACGGTCAACCGAGTAGCAGTTCGGAAAGCTTGAAGGTCACAGCCCGAGGTTTAAAGCTTTGAAGTCCCGTTGTAGAGCGATCTGTTCAGTGATTGTCGCAGTCCGGTGCTACACCTCTGAAAGCGCATATCATAGTTGACCCTCTTTGATCTTTTATCCCTAGGCATATACGACAGCCTGCACTAACTTCGTTGATCGACAGGGTTTGAAGCTCTGGACTCCTCCCTCCATCCTACATGCGTCAAGTCCAAGGCGTCATCCATAGCAGCAGGGACTGCAGTACCGAGCACGCGCGCAGTCAGATTTTCTTTGTCTTCCTATCTTCAAGTGCTCTACGTGCCGCCTGTTTGGTTCTGCTCATCTCTGGAGGGAAATCCTTCATCACGTTGATTCTCAAACCCAATATGCATTGCTTGACCTTGAAAGATGCAAAAGCGAGAGAAGAAAAGCATCATGACCTGCTTCTATTCATAAACATCGTTCTTGTTAGGCCCAGTTGCATGCATATCTTACTACAGAGCTGCCAAATTCGTAATGTGTAGAACAATAATAAGGCTTCTTCTTACCACAGCATTTCACGATATTTCTACAAACTTTGCGCGATTACAGCGACCATTAAGAAATCTCCATGAAGGTATTTCAGACAGGAGTGGTGGAGTATCAACTTGGGTACGGAGGGCGAGGGCTGAAAGTTCAAGTCGCAGTAAATTTCACTGACGATCATGTAATTGAGTTTACAGAGGAAAGTAAGTTAAGACAGGCATGTGTTCCACGTGCTCGCATCTGATCCCAGCTCTACCATTGGAGCACTTTTACTATCTCGGCGATTGTCAGCCTCAGTGCCAGTGTTCATGAACGAGTGCTACAGAAAAGATGGCATCAAAGAGCATCTTCCGCCGCCTGCGTGCAGTTGCGCAGCGGTTTTGGTTAGGCGCCTTCCATTTCCCGGTCATTGAATCGCAGCATAGTTTGCGCACCGTTTCCAGGTATGCACTAAAACCCCCTGGCTACCACAACCACCCGTCCCGTGTTCTTGCCCGACGCCCGTTTTCCATGCGTCGTATATGTGGCGGGTGAGAATTCTTGCATTCAAATAGAGTTATGCCATTAAATGAATTATGTTGTATACAGAAATTCTGCAGAATTCGACGATGCTCTTTGGTGCTTTCCGCTCTGTACCGTCACTCGTGTCCATGCATGGGGGTCGAATGCGGGTGCGCTTCGTTCCACGCGTCCGTCGAAACTAGGTCACCCCGCAGACGTCGCACTCGGTGCGTCAGCACATGATTCTTCACGGATGTCGCAGTTGTCAGTGAGGCATACGAGAAGAGTCTGTTCAACCTGAAAAGAAGATAACACGGTGGTTTTGTAAAGTCGTCTCAAGATGGCAGAGGGTGGGGCACGCGCGAAGCGGGCGGGATGACCCACTTTCGACGGACGCGCGGACCGGACGTTCTCCGTCAAATGCATTAGCGCATCTCTCTAGCATACTGATAATCATTGAAAAAACTTCCGAATCTGTCAAACTTCGAACGTTGAGGTATTTAGATTTAACTAGTATTCAATTGGCTTCTCCTCAGCATTAAAAAAGACAGTAAAATGAAACGTACCTTTTCCAATGCGGAAGTTCTTGCCTGGTTAGGAACATTCCCAATAGAGCGAGGGTTTTCATGTATCAGCGATCACATATCGTCAAACATTACCCTTTTTTATGAAGAAATTCTAGCAGACAAGGATTCTAAGTTTTGAGCTGGAATCTAATGAGCCTACTACATCTTAACGGCTGCTCAACTTTTTCTTTTGCAAGGAGCCATAAATGTTCGAACTAATCATGGGGATCATTTTATTAAATCGGCTTGGAAAATTTCATAACTAGATGAGAACGGCAACATGTTTAGAAATTTGAGACTATCTACGAAAGTATCCTAAGAGAACGGTTTTTTTTTAGAAAAAATTATCGAACCGATCGAGGAAATAAAAGTGGTCGATCTCAAACGCGTTAACAACTCTGAGAAAGAAGACACAAAAGTAACTCTCAAGTGGAATACAACAGGAGCGCGACCGTTTGAAGCGAAGAAATTGTTTTACGAAATAAAGTTAGTTCAAGCTCAGTTTGATAACTACGTCTTATCACAGCTTACAATTGAAAATTTTAATTCAGGAAACAAATATGGCAAAAAGAATGGACTGATTATTCTACAACAGTTCATAAAGCCGATACGTCCGGGACTCAAGCTTATGTGGGTGTCTAACGATCAAAGAGAATTATTTGGCGGTAATAGCGGTAATAGAGCTTTCTTAGGTGTTCGACAGCGTGAAATTGCTTCTTATATCTCCGAGGTTGCAAGTAACAGTTACTCCGAAATTTGATAACTACACTGGAATCTCTGATACTATCAACTTTTCATTGAAAACTGGTGGTGGGTTATTGACATTTCAATAAGATTAAAGCCATCCCTGCAAAGGCTTCACACTAGTTGTAAGAAGAGATTTCTCGTAGAGATTTTCCTATTTCAAGCGTTTCTAGAGTTACAGTCAACTCCGTTCCTATGTTGATAATATTGGGGTTGGCCGAAGCAATCAACAAACTAGGGTGTGGTGCAGTAGTAACGAAATTGCCGCGTCGCGGCGAAAGGGACTCTCCGCGCGAACGAGTTGGGCAGAATGCAGCAGCATGTAAGAAATACATGAACAAAGGAACTAACAGTAGATTCATGCCTAAAATGAGGACCGCATATCGATTGAGCTGTAAGAAGAACGCTTGAGCTATAATAACAGCGTACGAATGGACCGCGACAGCCGCGTGCGGCGAATCGATTACAGGAAGCCGTTCCTGCTGCTCGTCTCCCTATAAATTATGAACGATTATTACGAAATGCAGAACGCCCAGCCTAAGCGTTACTTTAGTCATTCTGTACTATCCATTTCACTTCATTAGTAGCCATACTGGTGAAGCATACTCTTGTGGTCACTGTTGCATCGTATTGTCCTTGAAGGCACAGCTCGCAATAATTTTGAAATACCTTTTATCAGTAGAAGAGCAGAAGCTTAGTCGAGAACAGTCATCGGTGGGAAAGGAAGCGAGAAATTTGTCGACTTCGCGAAATGGACTTCCTAAAAGTAGTGGGAGTGGAGCTTGTACGGAATCACCATGATCGAAATGACATGTAGGGGGCATTTAGACGAGATTTCAGTTCCTGCGATCTCGTAAAGAGCTGACTAACTTAATTATACAACCTCTGTAACGCCGTGGAAACTCTTCCGTCATGGGTGTGGCATTCGGCTGATAAACCCTCGGCCCTTTCACGGTCCTATCGAGGCCGTTTACCGATCGACAGCGCCTCACTTGGTTAAAGGCACAGTTCATGAAAAAATGGTTTCGGAGATTTGCACATGGTTTGAATTCGACGCCCCCNCTGGTACCATTCGTGCAGGAATGAGGTTGAAATGGTCTGGATAGAGCACAATAAGGGGCCGGAGAGTGAGCCACGGCCGCCCTCCGCCCCTCGCTGGGCTGATTACGAAATCTAATTGCCGTTCACCACTTTCGCATTGGAGCGAAGTTGGTGAAAAATCGATAAGGTGGTTGGCAAATTGTCCGAGTCTGCCAGTTAGATTGTCAGGATTGTCAGGACTTATTTTTATTGTAAACTGTGCACTCAAATGAAGTCATCGTTCATGAAATTTTCTAAATTTCAGTACTAGTCCTTAAGCTTGTCTGCATTCTTTAGGTATGCTGGACGTGTGTCTATCCCACTACTCAATAGCAATTTCAAAAACTAACACTAGAATCTGACATCCTTTTATGTATAACGCACTAATATTGTGTGGGTGTGCATGTGTGCATGTGTATAAGTGTTTGGGCAGAGAATGTTACCTCTGTTCTACCGTACCAGAGCCTCCAAATTTGGAGTGGACGTGGACGGCAGCCAACCTTAACTCGAAAAGAAGAATCTGGCTTTCGTAGTATGATCCGACCGGTCACTGCGAAACTATTCGTTGCATTTTCAAATTACTCCTCTACTTCGCTGTTAATGAAATGATCGCTTCCCCCTGTATCCCAAAATTACATAGGCGTGTGTGGGGCTGATGCGGGAAGAGATGTAGTAAAAGCGAGTACACACTTAAGATTGCAAAGTTTTTGCATCATCCGTTCACTCGCGGAAAATTCACTGCCGGAAACAATTGACCTGAGATAAGAGAATGGATGAAAGTATCTTTCCTTCTATACATATGACCAGTCGGATGACACAGAGCTAAAGCTATTTCTCCCTCCAACGCAAAATTGGCCTGTCGCCCACGTTCTTTTCAGATTTTCATCCTCAGAAAAACAGAAGTTATAGAACGAAAGTCCGTCCATACACACAGTCGACTATCTCGTGAGCTCTTCTCCCGTCATCAGCGGAGTCCTTTTCTACTTATGCGTGTTTAAGTGACATGGTCCATCCCCCTTCTCTTTCAATTTTTTCAGCTCTTCCTATCATCTACCACCAGTACCTTAATCCTGCTGTCTTTACTTCGATTAGATCTGAACGCCCTAGCCCTAAATTGGCAATTGTCGCGCTCATGCAGCCCCTTGCTCCCGAAGTTCAAACGTAGGACTTACTCTCAGCATTTCATCCTGCCGCCTATACCCCTACCGAATCTTGAACACTTTAGGTCTCAAGAAACACGAAAATAAATTGTCAGTCAAACACAAACCAGTGCTTACACCGATGAATCAGCTGATGCTCTTAGCGGCTTGTTTATATAAGGACACTTTGAGGGAAGTTTTGATGTGGCAGGCAGCGCTCTACCATACTCATGGTCAAGAGGTCGAGCCTCGAATAGCTATCGCTCACATCCCTGAAATGGGATTGTTGAACACCAAGAGACTATGTTTTCAGCTTTTGAGCAAGGATTCGGAAACCTGGAATCGTTAAAGGCACGGTTCACGATAATTTTGGGTAATCCATATTATGACGAAAAATATAAAATAGGGTGTAAAATCGATGAAGGCGAAGAGAGTGCGTGAATGGTGTTTCCGAAATGATAAAAGCTTCAAAAAAATCGTTAACAAGTGGGCTGGATGAGAATATCACCACAAAAATGAAGAAGAAGGGGTGCTGCGAAGGTGGACGAGCTATGCAATGTGTGTTATTGCGTACGTGTGGGTCCTGGTGCAAATAGCTGGCTACAGTAAGCAAAAATGTTCTTCAAAAATTCATTCACTCATAAGCATAACTTAGCAAAACCACTACCAACAGCAAAAAACGCACCTTGATTACCCCCTCGAGATGGACAACTAGGCACGGGAATAGCAAAAAGAATAACAGAGATTAATACGATAGGAGAAAAACGTCGTCTCACTGATCGACGATTACCAGGTTGCGTGTTAAACCTGTGGGTCCCGACGTGAATGTTACGATATGTGTCGCCACACACTCGTCTGACACATCATCGGTCGCTGGGCGTCGCATCCGGGCGATCCGGTAATGGGGCCAATATTATGCCCTAGCTGTTCAGTTTATGGACCCAATAGCGTCCTTCCCGTCACCCTCGGGGTCACTGGGTATCCCTAGGGGAAGAACTGAGGAACCATTTTTATACTGACTTGTGCCTTTAAGCGAATAGATGCGTGCAGGTGCAATAGGAGTTGCTAGAAGTGAATATGTCAGGGTACTCAACTGAAATTCGGAACCCCATTTGACCAGACTAATCAGTTATGCAAAACATTCATCCTCAGTTCCAAATTATTAGCTTGAATGTTTACTCTAACAGATACCGCAGAGTTTATCCCTTCAATGGTTTCAGATCTGGAAATAGATGTACGAGTTGTCAAATTTGGAACAGGCTTACGGTTGACCTGTATTGGCTACAAACCAGGACTCGAATCTCATTGGGAACGCCAGGTGAAAAATTGAAATCTGGTCACTTATCCCACTGCCAGCCGGTTCGCCCGGCTAACGCCGCGCTTCCTTCCTTTGACAAAGTTGTAGTGATCGGCTAACTCTCCACTTCTTTTTTGAAACAAATAATAGTTTCCTGTACACGGAAATTGACACAAGAGTAACAGAGCAGTGCAGAGGATATTCAGTGAAGGTCGGTACTTACGCCTTTGATTGGATCCATCGATCTTCTGCTCTCTTTCTTAAAAATTTTAGGTTATTATAAGTCCTCGGACAAAGTGATAGTGATGACTTCTAGAGATCATAACTCGAAAAAGTGTTGACGGAAATGGACAAGCGTGGCATTGTTAGATAGAGTATGAAAAGCTCTTCTGAGTATATACTAACGAATACATCAGACCGTTTCCTGCGCTTGAGCGTGAGGAGAGAAAGTGCCATGTCGTCGCGAAAATCTATGTCATACTGCTTCAAAGCATGAGGCACCCATCGACCGAGCTTTCGCACCATGCCGATTGACTTCAATCCACGAATAATTGTGGGCTAACTCCCCAAGAGTGAGTGCCTGTTCACGAGTAGTTTGATACGGATCGGCTCCCACCTGGCTCCGCAGCACCTCCAAATCCAACTCCATTGAGCGTCCCGGACGGTCTTCAGTCTCGATGTGAACTTCGTGTGCCACTTGTGAATTGTGCATAGAGCAGGAGCACCCTTCTTGTAAACTTGCTTAATACGTCTATCGATCTCCGCGGGTTCTTGGTCAGATAAGAAAGAAATAGCATGGTGTTGCGAAGGTGGAGTTGCAACGGCTTGAAATCATTGGGCATGGTTGCAGGAAAGGAAACAGTCAGGTGTGTTCTTCACACTTTTAGGTGAGCATAAACTTCAAAGAACTTTTCATGCTCTATCTGACGATGTCACGCGCGTCTATTTTCATCTCCTCTTTCTCAGTTATGGTCTCTAGAATTCATCGCTATCATTTTGTCCGAGGACCTATGACTCAACCTAACAAGTACCCATCAAAAATTCAACTGTTAGACAACCAAAACCTTGAGCGGTACTTACATATGTTTCGAGCGGTGAAAACACCATTATCGGATGTTGTCATTAATGAACCCTTCTCATTACGGAGATATCATTAGTTGAGAATTCAGAATTACTTGTGGTCGGTTAAGTTTTGTCGCAAATGATATCGAGCAAAGAGGATCCTTCATTCAGTCACAAACCTTGCCGGGTAGCGGTCGCAATATAATAGCAAGAAATGAACAAAATCCTCATCTGCTTATCGTATTGCCTATAATGGGTCCTTACCACTGCACTTACCACTCACTTTTGTCACCCTACCCTAGCATCCCGTCTTATTGCATGAAACATACTGACCAGTGAATGCTACATCGTGAATACCGAAAACACTAGGATTTCAATCGGTTGGTGGCCTCTCTTAGGTCCCTTATCTTCTCCTATCAGTTATTATCAGTCCCTGTCATAGATCATACCTACGATCCCGTCGTATCCTACATCACTTATTAAAATGCCGAGGTTCCACTGCTGATACGAAAGTGTAATCCTATCAAACTCAACGCTCTAGGTCCACGTAAGCAGGAGTTATGAATTTGCGGCCCAAAACCCAGACGCCCCGCCCCCTGTGAACGGAGTCCGGTCCTGCTACCTGTCATAAGGGTTCCCATCTTGCCTCCGTACTCCTTCCAAGTTTGAATACTCTAGATCCAGGGAGAGTTATGAATTCCCGATCGGACACATACACCAACACACAAACACACCGAGAAATCTACAGACACACTTAGCGAATTATATACAGTAAGATATGTAATTCGCCAAGTGTGTCTGTTGGTTTGTCAGTGTCTGTGCGTCGGTGTTTGTATTTGCCGGAAATTCATAACCCCTGATTCCGTGGACCCAGAGCTTTCACATTTGGTAGGAGTACAGGTGACAGGAATCGATATCGACAACATCGATGAAGAATACAACTGGCTCGTCGAACATCTTCACGATAGCGCTAGGAAAGCAGAGNAGAGTCTGCAAGTAGCCAAGAGATGACTCTCTTCTAAGACGCTCGGGTTGATACGCCAGCGTGGAATCGCGCGAGCTGCAGGCAATCAAAAATACACGTCCGAACTTGGGAAGCTATGCAGAGAAGCGATAAGGGAAGATCTGAAAGAGAGAAGAGCAGCAGACACGGGCGGAGCTGCCGAGGTCGGTTAAGAGCATTCGCCAAGCCCGGAGGAGCTTCGACAATTACAGTACCAAGATGGCTTCCCTTCGTCGTTCCAANACGTCCGAACTTGGGAAGCTATGCAGAGAAGCGATAAGGGAAGATCTGAAAGAGAGAAGAGCAGCAGTCACGGGCGGAGCTGCCGAGGCCGGGGAAGAGCATTCGCCAAGCCCGGAGGAGCTTCGACAATTACAGTACCAAGATGGCTTCCCTTCGTCGTTCCAACGGAACAGTTAGTGCATTTCGAAGGGCAATTGAGAAGGTCTTCCACGACTTCTACTCGGATCTCTTCGACAGCCACGTCTATCTGCCCACCCAATACCTCAGGCAAGACGAATAGTATATCGCTCCTTCGGTTCTCCCTTTTGAAAGACGACATGCCATCACTTCGATGAAGAACTGTACGGCGCCCGGCTCCGATAGGATCAAACCAGAACATCTGAAGAGTCTTCCACCAGTTATCGTCAGAACTCTGGCTAGGCTCTTCACGCTATACCTGCCGAAAGGCAAAGTGCTCACGTCGTGGAAAACTAGCAAGACTGTGTCGCTGTATAGAAATGGGGATCCAGACGATATTGGCAATTATCGCCCAATCTGCCTGCTGTCTGTAATCTACAAGCTTTTCACTCGTGTCATCCTAAACAGGATTGGCAGAATATTAGATGAAGGACAGCCATGCGAGAAAGCAGGGTTCCGGCGAGGGTTCAGTACAGTGGATCATATCCACACTCTTACATAACTCATTGAAGTATCGCGAGACTACAGAATGCCGTTATGTCTTACGTTTATCGATTTGAAGAAAGCCTTTGATACCGTCGAGACAGAAGTGGTAATTGAAACTCTGAGCAACCAGACTGTTCCTACTCAATATATAATGTTGCTTCGTGAGCTCTACGATTTCACTATTCTACATCGTCAACGTAAAGAGAGGTGTCCGGCAGGGCGAAACCACCAGTTTTCGCCCAAACTTTCCACTGCCGCTCTCGAGAATATCATGCATCATTTGGAATGGGAAGATATGGGATTGAAGGTCAACGGCCGCTACCTAGATAACCTCTGCTTTGCACACGACATCGTGCTCATAACATCAAACATCGAGCAGGCAGAACGAATGCTGGCCGAGTTTGACAATGCTTGTGGAAAGATCGGCTTGAGACTGAACTTAATAAAGACGATGTTCATGAAAACCGGATTGGTACCTGATGCTCCCTTCACGCTAAACGGGACGAATATCCCCGAATGCTCAAGCTATGTGTGTCTAGGTCGGGAAGTCAATATGATGAACGACCTGGCTCCGGAGCTGTGCAGAAGGAAACGCGCCGCGTGGGGAGCAATCAAGAGTATCGAGGGAGTAGTGAAGAAGACCAAGAAGATCCGGCTCCGTGCTCACCTTTTCGACACTGCTGTCTTTTGTGCTTTGACGTATGCCCAGGAGACTTGGGCTCTACGAGGGCAAGATGAGCACGCTATCAGCGTACTCAACGCGCTTTGGAAAGGGCGATGCTCGGAACTTCCCTATACACGCAAATGCAGAAGGGAATCCGATGTTCCGAGCTCCGTCAACGAACGAAGATCAGGGATACCGTTGATTACGCCAAAAAATTGAAGATCAGGTGGGCCGGACACGTTATGCGATATAGTGATGACCGTTGGACCAGTGCGGTTACTGACTGGATCCCTCGGGATATCAAACAAACTTCAGGACGGTCAGACTTCTTCACGAAAGCTCTGAACGGGAGGAATGTTGATCCTCGTGTTTCTGGAACGAGGACGATCCATTCTGGTCTTCCAGCCCACTANCTCCGGATATCCGAATCTTGCGCTTGGAGGAATCTCCCACTTGGTCACAGGTAGGTAGGTAGGAGAAAGTATCAGCAAAGAACGAAAAGTTCTTAAAACGGTATAAAATCTTTAAGAGATATTTTCTAAACCTTAAAGGAAAACTTCTATGTAATGCAACAATTCCGTCCTCCAAAGAACTCGAGCCGTAGTCTCTCGCCCATGAAGCGCAACACTAAGCGCCGTTGAGGAACGAGGCTCATCCATGTAATTAAAGTTTTCTTATGTTAAGTTCCCTGAAACCACCCTCATAACTCCGTTCAGAGAAACACTTGGCAGGTTGGAAAGCAGATTTGAACTCAGCGTCGAAAAACACGTCCAGCAGTGTACGTCTCATTCCAAATGACCACTTCAACTTGGGATCCTTCCTTGGTGAGATCCCTAACTAATGATATATCCGTAGAAAAGGAAGCTCCATTGATAAGACATTCGATAATGGTGTTATTATCACACTTGAAACAATTGTGAATACCATTGAGGCCTTTGCTCCCTATAAGTTAGACCTTGGATGAAACATTACTTCTAGGGTGCAGAGCGCTAGATCGAAACTTCTAGCCGTAGGCGAAAGCATTGCTACGTACTGAATCCCACTCCCGCTGCATTGTTAAGCGTGTGTCGAATTTCGTGTTCAGAGAAGTGTTCCAAAAAAGGGGTGTCCGGTCAGGCGATTATCACAAGTCTGTCATAAGGAGGAAGAAAGCGTGGCGTTAGCCGAGCTGAGTGGTAGTTGCTTAATCAAAAGCATAGGTTACGTAGTTTTGGATTATCCATATTATGACGAAAATTGAAGAAGACGTTGGAGGAATGATAAAAGGCTTTGAAAAAAATCGCTCAAAAGATGGCTGTACGAATACCAGACCCGAAAGTTGAAGTAGAGTAGGTGTTTGTACGACCTATACAATGTGTGTCATTGCGTGCGTATGGGTCCTGGTGCGAATAGCTGACTACAGTAACCAAAAATGTCATTTAGAATGAAAGAGAATAATAGAAAAGGAGAAAAACATCGCCTAATCGCTCGGAGGTCGGCTGAACAGCGATTGCATGATGAACGTGTGGGTCCTGGCGCGAATATTGCAATCTATAACGCCTCGACGCTCGTCTGACACATCATCGATCGATGTGAGGGGCATCTGACCGATCCGGTAATGGGATCATATTATGCCCTAGCTTTTGAGTTCTTGTGCATGACAGCGTCTTTCATGTTACTCTTGGGCCACTTAGTAATTTTGAGGGGAAGTCTAGGAACCTATTTTTATCGTGAACATGCCTCTCATTCGTTAGGAGTAAGCGATAATGAGTCATAAACTGAAATAAATTTTATTATTTACCGAAGGTTAAAGACTTTTTTACAGGAAGATGGGAAAGACGATTCGGCAGGGACTACTGAAAATCGCGAAACTCTACATATTGTCGTCGAAAAGGGTCAACTGTACTACAGGTGCTACGTAAAGGAGGACTACTACAAGCAAACTACAGCCATTTACATTTTCGGTGTAGAAGGTTTGTTCCATTGGGTTTTGGATGAAGTGAGCATAGCAGCCTTCAAGACTTCTCCGTTTTAGGACCTCCTCCTTCTCCTCAGTTGAACCTGCGAATAGTTAGATCCAAGCCTTATAAACTTCACGTAGATTGGGTGGTGGATTGGCGCGAGGAAATTCCGACGAGAAGGTTAGCTGAATAAAATATATAAAAAGCTTTTTTGTAGGGATTTGATTCGAATGTTTGCATGAAAATGAAGTGCGATCCATCAAGTTTTCCTTTACCCAGCCACTGAGTGTGGAGTATGTAACATGGGTCTGTAGTTCGGATATGGCGGTCTTTGGTTATAACCGTGGTTTACATAACTTCATGTATTTGAAGGATGAAGTCTTTCTGCTGTGATCAAGTCAGCTATGGGAAGTGCACCTGTATTTGACTTCCGTTCAGAATCGTAGTGGCCTCTTGAATTGGTCTGTAGCTTCACATTGGCTAATAGTAGCCAGAAGTTCAATTCAGTGTTTCTATTCTCCCACTGGCGCTGGTTAACCGACCTGGAAGAATGAAAAGCTAGGTTTGCTTGGACGAGTATCAAGATTCGATCCCGGACCTTGCACTGTCTTCGCCTTTCGCGTACTATCGGTACGAGGACTGAGTGCAGGTTTGATAGCACTTTAAGGCAACCAACCGTTCCATCTATCCGGTTTCGGGTAATGGGTATCACACTGCTATGGAATGATAGAAGCGCTTACTTGTACATCGGCTGCCATCTCATGTCATTATATAAGCCACATACGCATTCAAATTTGGGATTGCGGATGGGTGTACAATTGGACCGACGTCAAAAGACGTTCTCCATCTCAAATAGAAGCTCTAGACCGATGTTCAATCTTTTCTCCGAGATGTTAAAGGATGTTAATGGATGTTGATGTTAATGGATGGATAAGCAATGGATGTTAAAGGGTTGGAAGTTCCCAGACGACAAGTCCTGCTTTTGTTTGGAAATTCATGATTTCATTTGAGCCCGTGAAATCACGATCGTCTTCATGAAAGTATCATCATCATCTCTCAGACGGATGACGAGTTGCTCAAAACTCGCCATACTCGTGTAGCTTAAAGCTGGTACTTTTACATAAATACTGACAGCATTTCAGTTTTATCCTGACTGTTAAGCAAGATGATTCCCAAAAGCTTGAGAAGAAAACCTTGGAAAAGGTATAGATAATGTTCAAGCTCTCTCTCTTCTTCCTCCTTGAAACCCATACAAAATTATATTGCAATTAGACATCAAAAGTTTTATTGAGAACTAACAATAAGCTGCATCACGCGGGGCTACGCTTCCACCTCCCAATGCTCCAGCGTGGGATTTTGCACTGGAACAGCTGTCGTGATCACAATTTCCATACACAGTGGATGATAACCGCGTGGGTGCACGCGACGGTGAGAATTCCGGAGCGATGTCCGTCATCCATGCTTCCTGAACAGTGAACTATTTATAGTACCACCTAAAGTTTACAGTATCTCCATAACTGCATCTACTGTTGCATACCTGTAGATCTGACAGTGTAATTCGGCTGAAAGATGCAGAGACCTCCGCAATTGGTGGAGGTGTCAACCTACCCTAGCATCTGTGGAAGTTAAACTTTCCCCGAAATCATTACGACAAAGTCGTTGCAGTTTATTGTTGTAGCTTAAAAGGGATCTGTAAAAAGTAAATTGTGCCGCCGTTGAACCACCTGGAACCACTTACTACAAAAATAGCTCTTCCAAGCGCAGTGATCGCACCAGGTGATTCACTAATAGGCATTTGTAGGGGAGAAAAGTGAGACCCTTTGATCGATGGGCATGAGTTCGCCCGGGCTAACATGACATTTTTACAGTCCGACGTTCCTATGAATTCCCAGGCATGCTGAATGAGGATCCTATCATAAAATAAGTACTTGTGATATTGAGCTAATTGATATCTCGAACTCAAAAGCAAATCCTGAAGAATTCCTATGAGGTTACATATGTGTGGGAATGTGAAAAACGGACTTTGACCGTTTCCCCTTCTTCATTTTTATAGAGAGTCGAAAATTGTATACAGTAATGCTCACAGTTGAATATTGAATTCTATTATAAACTGAGAACAAACCCAAGGTCCTTAAAGTTGGTTTATGGCATTGTCAGAGCGGACTACGGTACGAGAGTGGTGTTCCTCTCGAACGAGCTGAGCTATGAGCTCTTCTTGGTCTTTTTTTGGACTCTCTTTTTCTCAAACGAAGTCATATGAGTTATAATCATATCTACTCCTCACTATTCTCACTTATATAAAAGGATGTTCTATGGTATTGACCCATTGTCAATAATTTAATAAAAAGGTTCCCGAATCAATATGAGACCTGAGAAAGTTCACTTCAGAAAGGTACAATCTCGACTGAAATTACCGCTGACAGCGCTAAAATCACAGTACTTGGAAATGCTTCCTATGGAGAAAATTTGCACAAGACGACCGAAAAAATAAGTAAGGAGCTTGTATGACATTCATTTCTGTCTCTGAAACACTACTTTACTTTTCCACTCCTTCCTCTTTCCAGTCAACATAGAACCCATTACGTTAGTGAATTTTGGAATGTCAGACGAAGCTATAGATACTATGACGATAAATTGGAAAGTCATGGGAGTTCTACCTGAAGAGGAACCACAATATAAAATCAAGTAGGCGGTTTCATCTTCATATATTTTATAATTATGCAACAGATTCCACTAAGAGATTTACAGGATCAGCGTTGTAGCAAGTGTCCACATATGGTCCATGCATCGTATCCTGACAGGATACTTGCCAATCCCCTCTATCCATTTCAGGCTCTGACGAAAGCAACGTAGCCGAAACGTTGGTCTGATAAAAATTCGAACTTTGAAAGGCTTACAGAACTCCCGATGCAACTAGCATGCCAAGATTGCAAGAGGCTAGATCAGGGGGTGATCCTTCTGTCCTTCAGGGATCGAGTTATTGTTACCAGACTAGTCTGGGAAGATGGAAGCACTGACTTTTACATCCTAGTCACTGTATGCAAGTCGTTGGTGGAGGTCTCCCAAGGTCATATAGATATTCAAAACGCCCGTACGGTTATGAATCGAAGCCGATTACACCGGTACACTCCGAGTATGGATTAACTACAAAACTTGGTTTTCACCCAAAGTGCCGTCGCATTCCTATGATTTTCTTGAAAGCACCCATTTTTTTGCATTTGACTTCTCTTCTTAAAATCTCCTGATATTTGATTGGGGTTCTTTTTTCGACTTGTTCCTTCAGGAGTTACCCTACAGTTAAGTTTTAGGAGTGAATAGCCGAATTTTTATTCTGGTCAGTAATTTTAAATACAATAGAGGGTCGATAAGCTCCGCTTACGAAGTGTACGAAAAGACCCATAAAACGTCCGCTAAGTTTGAACTGTTAGTCTGCTGGAACTTTTTCGCTATTCAAGTGAAGAAAGCAAAAAATGCGTCGCGGCGGCTACAACGCTTCTCCTCAAAAGGCTGGGATTCAAAGTTCATCAAGACTCCTGAATGCATCACGCGTTCTCCCGCTACTTTAGCATTCTTCCGAGACCCGTCACTACGAATCGTCTGCGATCAGAGTTTGCACCGGCACTTTGCCGAAAACCATTCCTGCCTTCATTGCGATGCGTTGGCTTAAGCGGTACCGTGACGGCAAATTAGACAATCATTTAGGTCATTTCAAGATTTATTACCAACGCTTTGGGAAAGCAATGCCATACCCGACTACACAGACTGCACATAGGGAGTTGAAACGCACCTGGAAGTGACAAAGCTGAAGCACTCAATGAGCGTTTAAATTCCTGACATAATGCCAGAAAATTTGTTGCCTCAATCACTGGCGCGAACTGGCGCGTTGCATTGACTGCGACGGAGTAGCCGACGAATGTTGAATGATGACGTCCTTACTAATATATAGCCCACAAGTTTGTTATGTATGTATGTATGTATGTATGTATGTATGTATGTATGTATGTATGTATGTATGTTTGTTTGTTTGTTTGTTTGTTTGTTTGTTTGCATGTATGTATGTGTGTATGTATGTATGTATATATTCGGAAGGCATGTATGTATGTTTGTTTGTTTGTTTGCAGTTTCTCGCGAAATTTGATATTACCTGAAAAACACCTGCAGAGGTCGGGACAACTCTAAAAGGTGGGAGCATAGTACGTAACCAACAGAGCACATATGAGCCTGACGAAGTTCCGCCCACGAGGGGCTGGGCAAGCGCTAATAAAGTTCAAGAGGTTGTAGAATAAGTACGTCGAATTTCCATAGTTGGCGGTGTTGCGCTAGGGTTGGAGAATGATATGAAATATCGTAACTTTTTTTGAGAAGTGTTCTACATCACTGAAGAAAAACGGTCAAGGGATTTCAAATGAATTCGGCCTCACTCAAACTGTACGGTCGGTGGGGGGTGGGCGGGGTTAGCGTTTGGGTGGACGGGGCCAAGAATAATAGATCTTTATCCGTCCGGAAAGGCTCTGGTATGCGAAAAAGGTGGTCAGAGGTAACAGAAGAAACTAGGTCGAATCTACAACGTGGATTCCACAGGATGGGCGAGGCCAAGAGTCAAAATCGAAAATTCAATTCCACGAGTTTTTTCAGAAAGGTTTTAGAACACGGGAGAAAAAATGGTTAGGGCTATTCCCGAAACGGGCAGGGTTCGCTCTGAGCTAGGCGGCGTTGAGATCAAAACTACATAACCCCACTTCAAAATGTTTTACGACGTCAAAAAAGGTGGTTAGAGGCGAGACAATAGAAATATGGAATAGGTAGATGAGATGTGAAGGGAATGTAATTGTTAACGCAGCGATCGATGATGGCAACTGATTTTGATCGCTTTCGAATTGTACTACTAGGCATGATGTTGCTACTCACTATTCTTTTTTTCAAGAGGAAAACCTAAGAAGTGATGATGTGCATCTGTATGGATGTGTGTGTGGTGTGGGTGTCGCCGTATCTTCAACTGGAATTTCATAACTCCTGCTCCGATGGACTTAGAGCATCCAAGTTCCATAGGAGTACAGATTGCATAATAGAAACACTGTAGACAGGTGATTGGGCTGAACTTCCTCTGAAAGGACGAGCGTGCTCGAAAATTGTTGAGTTGGACCTAGATTTTTAGATTTGACGTGCGAAAGAATATGAATGCTGCCGGTAATGGTGCGACTAGATACCACTCATAAGGTGTTGCGTCCGAGGTAGCAGGCAGCAGATGGAAGATTTACTAGAGAGTAAACTGAACATAACTACAATCGAGGGGTTTATATACCCCAATGAGATCACTATTTAGGCGGGAAGGTGGTCGTGGTCTCAATAGAACTAGTGTCCTATGACCCCTACAACATAAGGGTAGGGCGTACGCATAGATAATAACTTGGACCTAGACCGTTCAAATTTCGTAAGGGTGCAGGAGGTAGTATCGAAATGCTGCCTATAGGAGGTACGACTAGACTCCTTCCACATGGGCGGAGCGTGAAAATTGCTAAATCGGACCACGGGGTCCAAGCTTGATAGCAGTGCAGGTGGCATACGGGAGTGCTGATGGCAGATAACACGACTGAGGATGAAAGAAAGGTGGAATTAACGAAGTTACCAGTGCACATGGGTTGAGCACGTTTCCGCTCATGACGGGCAAGACGCTCATGAAGAGCGGAATATTATATTTATTTCCTATTCTCCTGTACCGGAGCGTTCGACTTTGGGAGGGACGTGATCGGCAGGCCAACTCATATGAGAAGGAGGAGAGCCCGTTGTGAGTCGGGCGATCCAACAGGGTACCAATAAAACGTCAGGATCCAACCAATATCAGACCTGCTTCTGTAGGAGCACTCTACATAGATTTTCAAATATCTTTATACTAAATTTTGACAATGCGAAACATGGGAGCTCGTGCGTTTTTCGATTACCTCGCGAATGCTAAGATACAGAAAAGGAACTAGAAAATTATTTGTCTTATTTTCAGGATCACGTGTGGAAATGACTATGAAGAGGAGAAAATGATAAAGCAAAACTCTACCGTGAGTCTGTACATGTGATTTTCAAGATCTTATCGAGAATATGTCATTTATAGGTGGTTCCTATTAAACGTCGGCCGTACAACTGCGAATTGAAGGCACAGGCGATATTGGAATCCTACGAAGGACCTATAGCCACTTACACAGTAAAGTTGGATGCTAAGGGTGTGTTGTTTGAACTGTTACCAGTCAAGTCGCCCGTCTCACGCCGGGCCCCATTCGTTACTTTTACAAAGTGATTAGAAAATGATGTCAAGGGTATCGCTTTCATTCAACACCAAGAGCTTGAGTGCGGAGAATGATGGGTAGCCGACCCTACCTGTGCTTCTAGTTGGATTTAGGCGAAAGAATATAGGCATACCCCAAGCCCCTGTAGGGGAGGAGTGCCGGGGCCGGGTAAGATGATTGCCGCCAAAAGCTAGGATGGGGTATAAGTTGAATACTCACCCACCCCGGTGCTCCTGAACCTCAGGTCAAAAAAACTGTATATTTTTGGCTAACAAACTTTTCTGAGCACAGTTATTGGCTAGCCTCCCTATCTCATCTCATCTAGCGCTCAGTGTTGGAAATGAGCGGAGGTCTCAACTACATTATCACCTCCGATTTTTGTAAATAAGTGCATAGCGCATGCCAGTGCAGATCGAAATCACGGTAAAAAAGTACCCTTTCAACTCCACAAAACTCACTTTACTTTACAGCACTCATCCTACTCTATTGATCTACACACGAAGTTACTCCTTTATAGATATGAAGGAACTGTGATATAGAGCTAGGTTTGCCATATCGCTCCCTACCTTTATCGTAATCATAAATTTGACGGACGGACAGAAAGGCAAACATACAAACCGACAAACCGACATACCAAGTTACTGCTTTATAAATAACCAGTCGGATCGCGCGGCTGACGCCAGGCTCTCCTCCTTCTTGTGTCAAACACCCTATCCCGAGAACTGTTGAGCTGAAGAATTCTATTTCCTATTTCAAAGTTTATAGTCTTTGAGTTTTTTCCGTGTTTAGCTGAGTGAGGGTATGAAACTGAAACAGAGGTCGTAATCCTTCTTTGACACAAAAGAAATCGAAAGCTTCCCTCTTTCTTTGATAGTTGTAGTAAGTCTAATTCTCCACTCCTTTTTTTTGGAACA